TCTCCCTAGTTGGTATTATATAGCTGAGGTCACACTCCTAACCTTAATGACCACATTAATTTATATAGTTCCTTTACTAAAATCTCAGAGCAGCTGGCTTTTGGATTCCAAGTGCTGACAGAACTAGTTGCACTGAAGGCTAAAAAGTTAGCAATATGGCAGGTAGGTCAGCACTGGAATAAACCCAAGATGCACGACAGACTCCAGGGACCACCATCACCCCCAGGTTCTCAAGCACTGGGTGGGAAACAGTGGCCCAGATTGAGGAAAGCTCAAGGAACAGGGTTCTGCTTCCCACCAGCTTCCACTTCTGCCCCAGGGAAGGGTCCTCAGTCCCTGCCTGAAACAAGGAGAGGGGACACCTTGACTTAGGTGGAACAAGAGACCCAAGGACATCTGGACAGTCACTCACCAGCCAGGTAAACAGATTTCCTCCAGTCTGAAAGGCAACACAGGAAACAGGTGAGCTAAGAACCAGAACCTCTCCTACAAAGAAGACACAGAAAGTTCTAGAGGAAAAGCAGAACTTACCAAGATCCGCTTGGAGTTCATCTGAAAGAGAGTGAGAAGTAAACATGAACTCCCATGTCTAAGAACAGCAAAGATTGCACCTGACAAACCCACAAATGCTCATCTCAGTACCCTAGAAGTTATACCCTAGATCCATTGAGCCTCCACAGCTCCAGCTGTCCTCTCTGGACCTCGTCAGCCACCCAGTCCAGGGCAAGGGTCCTCTGTCCACTTTTCCTCTGCACCAGCTGCCACACTCACAGGCCTTGGCCACTGTCCTGCCTTACCTCTGGCCTTCAGTGCCTCCTCCTTTGCCCACTGGTCCTCCTCCTTTTCCCTGTGGAGTTTCTCCCATTCCTGCATCTCCTGGCACTTTGCAGTATGTTCTCTCTTGGTGTAGTAGGCAGTCCCAAGGAGTAAGAGCATCAGCAAGGTCAGGATCCCCATGAATGCTGACATCCAGGGAGAAGTCCGGGGAAAGAAGTCCTCTGTGTCCGGACAAACACACAGTCAGGGTCACAGCCCAGGACAGCCCACCCAGCACACCCAGGGACTCCCACCCCCTCCCTATGGCCCTACTGGGAGAGGGAAACAGCACTGACCTGGGATGAAAATGGCCATCGCCTTCTCCTGGCTCAGGACTGGGTTGAGGAGGGAGCAGGTCACATTCCTTGAAGACCTGTGTTTCACCACCAGAGCAGCCTCCACACTGAACAGCCCTTCAGCATTTTGGACATGGGTCTCAGAGAACATCAGGAACTTCTCTTCACTGAGGGCTCTCCACTGCACCTGGGGCTTTGGGAACCACCCCGATGCCTTACACACCACTCGGACCCCGTCCTCCTCTGGCCCTGTGATGTGCACTTGAGGGGCAGAGCCCACACCTGCAAGAGAGAAGCTAGAGAGCACAGGGAGGCCACCCAGAGCCCAGGGATGCAAGCAGAGCCTTCCCATGCACAACTCCAAGGGCAGCATTGCTTTCTGGAGGCCTCATTGAGGAGTGAACACAGCAGGGAGCAAAACAGGGGTCCTGCCACAGAAAATAGAAGGAAGGAGCATGGGGACCTGAGCACATACAGAGGGCAGGACTCTTCTCCCCAACCATGAGGGTGGGAAATCCATCCCCCAGAGTGACAGAAAGAGGAATTTGGTCTCAGGATCCATCCTTCTCTGCTCTTCTCACCTCACACGCTCTCCAGGGCATCTGCTTGCACACACACTGCCACTTGGTACATCACTTCCACCTTCAACAACCTTACCTACCTCCTGAGCTCCTTCCCTAATATCCACATCCCCGGGTTAGCTCTGCCAGGATTGCTCACAGATGTTTCAAACTCAAATCCTGAACTAATTCATGTTTGGCCCCATCTGTGATAGGCTGATGATGAAAATATTCCCAAATCCTTCGGCCTTTTTTACATCCAGCTCGCCCTCTGCCACATATTCTTAGTGACTTCACACTCTGCTTCTGGGCTCCATCCCGTGACTTGACTCAGCCACTGTTAGTTCAGGAAATGTGACTCTAGCGGAGGTTGGAAACTGCTTGTACCATTGCCTCACCCTCTGCCACGGGAGGGGCATGCTCAGGCTAGTGCAGCCTTTCCAGCTGCAGCTGTCCTAGACCAGCCAACAGCCAGATGAACAACAGCTCTGTGAGCAAACCAAGCCAAGGTCTACTGTTAGGACAAAATATATTAAAAGTAAGGGGCTTATTGTCCCTGTTGAAAATAAGGAAAGAGAGCCCCTTCCCATCCTTTTCTTATAGCATTTACTTGAGGAAACTTGTGACTGTGGGTGCTTTCTCCCCTCTTTGAAATGTATATAAGTCCATTGAAAAACAGATAGGCCCTTAGCCAGCTTTGTGATCCAGGAGTGTCTTTCCCAAGGACCTGGGAACCCTCTCTTTGAACTGCTCACACCAAGGAAGACAGCACACCTCTCTCCCCCTTCCTGTGCCAGGGTAGGAGCCTAACCTGAGTGGGCACCAGGATCCACGTGTAAGACCACCTCCTGTCATGAAGACTGAAAATGCATTTTTTTCAGGATGAAGCCAATTAGCTAACATGTATTGTCACCCAATTACCAAGTAAATCTAGGGTGATCTGTTTGTGACAGTTGGTGCTGTCATGTCCACTTACTTGAGAGCTAGTAACTGTACCCTGAGAACACGTGTGTTCATTTGTGTCTGCATGGCTATGAAAAAGGGTGATCTTCTTTGTCTTTGCATCTCTTCAAAGATTGTCTATGATACACATCACATTATGGTAAATCTAATTCTATAATAAAAGAGTTTTCTTTCCTGCTATTTTTGTGAAGACGATTTCTCAGCGATTTCCTTTTAATTGTATTTCCCCAACATGACCAAAGATGTATGAGCAAACCCAGTTAAATTCACCTAACACCCAAAATAAGTAAATGGCTATATGCCACTAAGATTTCTGTGGCTGTGTTAAACAGCATCATGACAATTGGGAAATAACATATAATTATCAATATTTCTACTACTATTAAAAAAATAGTCAAAGAGAAACCTTAGGACTCTCCATAATCCCCTCTTCCTCATCCAAATTCTAGGTCCCCAAATCCACTGACTCACTTGAGTCTAATTTCCAAACCTCTCTGAAGCCAAATGTCTCCCACCCCACTGCCCCTACATGAAGTCAGACAGCCAACCTTCCACTGTGTACTATATCCATGCCTCCAGTCTTACTCTCCTCCCATCCATCCTGCCTTGTGCTCTCAAAGCAAATTCCCCACCCCTGTACCAACCTGTTTAAAATTTCCTCACCTCCACATCCAAAACTCAGTATGCAGCACAAAGCCTTCTACCCTCTGACATCTTCCTCCATCTCCAACAAAACTCCTGTCCATTTCTCCCCAATTTTCTCACCTATGCCCCTCAGCATTCTAGCCCCAGGACTTCATAACCACAATCACCATTCTCTCTGTGCCCCTGATAGTCCAGAACACAAACCAGAAAGGCCCTTTGGAAGAATCTGGTGATCCCAAGTACCTGTTCAAGTGTGTACTCCTCATGAACTTTCCTGCTCAATCCCTTCTCTGTGCCCCTGAATCAGGAATACCTCTTTATTCTAGGATTATCCACTTGCTCCTATCCACTTGTATTACCAACCATGTGGCCTCCCTGTGTGCCCTAAAACACCAGCCACACTCCTACCTCAGTTCTTTCACATGGGCATTTCTCTGATTGGAACTCTCAACCCCAGATATCCATTTGGTTAAGTCCCTACTCATCACCATCTAACATCATCTATAACCCATCTTGTTTACATTTTTATTGCTTTTAGAAAATAAACTTTGCAGGGCAGGGAACTTTGTTTGGTTCAGTGATGCCTCCAGGTGCCCAGAAGGGGAGTCAACACTTCATAGGGATTCTATATATTCACACTGAATTAATGAATAAGTGAAGACCCTCTTTTCCCTAATCTGTAAAATGAGGGGCTGATTTACTTGGCCCCGAGTTTGTTCCCAACTCCAATACTACAGCACCCTAAATGTAGATCAACAACCCCCCTACCTGCCACCTTCAGTTCCAAATTGGCAGATTCATAGAAGCTTCCCTTTCTGAAGAAGCAGGTATATAGGCCATTGTCAAAAGCCTGGACATTGTGGATGTGCAGGATGGCCTCCCCCCAGGTGAGGAATTCCTTCACCAGTGAGGTCCGCTCTGTGTACTGGGCCAACTGTTCCTCTCCCTGCTCCTGCTGGTTTTGATAGATGAACACAGCTTCTGTGAAATTTGAGTGGAACCACCGCAGTTCCATGTTCTCCACATTCATGGCCGGGGACACGCTACACGGCAGCGTGATGTTCCCACCCAGCACTGCCACAATGGGGTCCGAGGAGCCAATCACCACGAACTCCTCTGTGGACACAGACATAGGAGTGAGAAAGCTGGAGAGATGAAGGATAGGGGCAGGGAACACACTGTCAGGTGGGAGGCCCAGGCAGGAGGAGGTAAGTGTCAGGTAGGAGGCCCTGACCTGAGGGACTCAGCTGTGACCACTCTGAATCAGGGCAAGTTTGTGCTTTAACAACTTAGAGACCCAGCAATGATGTCAAAGAGACTCCCTCATCAGCCTGTGCTCCTGGCTCCAGGTCCTCCATGAAGGACTCTCTAACTCAGTGGTTCTAACCTTCCACAGGTATCACAAATACCAGGAAAACTTGAGAAACACAAATTTCTGGGCTCCAACCCCAGAGCATCTGCTTCAGCAGTTTTGGGGTGGATCCAAGAATGTGCATTTCTAAGGAGGTAGTGGGGATGCTGATGCTGTGGTTCCAGGGACCACACTCTGAGATCCACAGCTCTAACCTGCCTCCTCTTAGGACAGGACTGAAAACTGACCAAAGAGCACACCCTAGGCTTAGGTGGGAACTCTCTGCTTCTTGGAACATACCCAGGAACTTGCCCATGACCTCTCCTAAGTTTATTATTTCTGCCCATGTGTTTCTCCTCTGCTGAATTACATGTGCACTAAACCTAGAGCCCACAGCTATTTCTGTTAAAACCTGCCCCCACTCCATCAGTCACAGGACGCAAATCACTACTTGTTACAAAGGAAGGTTCACTTCAGTGGCACACCCTTCACAGGCCTTGGTCTTCTGAGAACTGATGGACATGTCACGACAGGACACTTCTGCAGAAAGACCCCAGCTGGACCTCAGAAGAGTGACATCTCACCTCCTGTGCTACTCAACTTCAGCTGAGTCACTATGTGTCTCACCTGCGGGATGACAGTGACTAGGCTCCCTGTGACTATTCTCTCCCCAACTATTCTCTCTCAACCTGTAAGCAAAACCATGTCCTTCCTCTGCTCAAAGCCCTACAATGGCTCCACAGTTCTCCCACGTGGCCTACGGGCCCTATAGGGATGACACCCCCCACACACACTGCTCTCTGACCCCCAATGCTTGCTTCTCTCCCTCTCGCTCACTCTGCTCCAGCCAACACTTACCTCCTTGGCTCCTTGAACACGCAGGCACACTGCCGGCTTTGCTCTGGCTGCTCCGCATGATAGAAAGCCTCAATCCAGGAGGATCCTCACAGGATGACACACAACCTCCACCAAATTTCATTCCCATCTCACTGCCTACACTGACCACCTTATGGAGCACCTTGTGGAGCCTGCCCACAGCCCTCCTGCACCCCTCACTTCCACACCCTGCTCTACTTCCTTATCCCATGCTCTCCACTCCTGTAACAGACGTAGATCATAT